ATTATTATTATTCATAGTAGTAGTATAATTAGTACTATTGTCTGAGGCGGGTCTAAAGACGGAGAGAACACGTGTAAAGGATGAAAGCTGTTTCTTCTGAGCTTAGAAAAGAAAGAAACTTGTGTGTGCCACAGATATTCATACGTTCCTATATGTTAGAAACCTCTGATAAGTTTTTTAGTTTCACATTTACTCAGTTAACTGATGAAAATCAAATCCAGTTAGTTCCAGATTATTTAAGAGTTGACTAGTGTTGGATTAACTGTTAAAATCCAAGAGACTCAAGTAACCTGACTTTAGGAAACATGATCTTTTAACTTTATACAGCCTAAAATATAAAGCAGTAATGACCTCTAACTCCTGCAGCAGCCTTTACTGGTCATGAATACAGTTCAGCATTAACATGACAACTAATGAGAATCTGATGGAATAAGAGCCGATCGACCGACGACTGACTTCAGACGTCTGTTTCCTTCTTTGTCTTCTCGAGACGTGAAAGCCTGTAATCCACCAGTTGTCTGGTCGGTGAGTCAGTCTCTCCTCCTCTCTGCTGTCAGCCTCTTCACTGACTTCCTCCAGATTTCACGGTGGGTTTTTTGTCTTTTTAAGCTCCTCGTTATGAGACTGTGTTACAGCAGTAATCCCTGGCAGCTCGACTCATGACTCAGGCTGAAGCTCTTTCTGTGGCAGAAAAACTCAACTGACTCTCGTTCATCTGGAATTTAATGAGCAGCAGAACTTCTTGAGCTGATCAGTGGATGTGATGACGACCAGCGTGCAGGATGCTCACTGAGGCGGCTCACATTCTAATTAACTGACAACATCTATGTGCTCAAATCTCTGATCTGCTGCCACGAAATATGATGTTTGTTCCACTTTGAGACCACAATAGTCTGCATAAGAGTGGACCTGGAACCAGACTGGTCCAGTTTTCATTCAGCACCAGGGTTCGAGTGTCAGAACGGATTCTTTCATGCGTGCAGTATTCAGAGGAAGTAATATAATCTGATTACCCACATATGGAGGAAGCAGTACCTACGTCTGTGTTTTGGTACATTTTGTTTTATTTTTCGTCTCCGTCCGTCTCTATGGGATCAATAAAGGTTCATCTTGTCTTTGTGTCAGTACTCAGTGTGTGTCTAGAGCTCCTCACCCTGAGCGGGTTTTCGTTCAGGTACGGCGGTTCTCCCTCCACCATCTCGATGGCCATGATGCCCAGAGACCAGATGTCCACTTTGGGCCCGTAGGCTTTGCGGGTCACCACCTCCGGAGCCATCCAGTACGGAGTCCCGACCATGGTGCTGCGTTTGCTCTGCTCCGGAGTGATCTGTGCGCAGAACCCGAAGTCGGCTGCAGGAAGAGGAACACGGTCAGTAAAATAATCAGCATCGGTCAGCGACATCCGGACATGATGAGGAGGTTTGGGTTGGAGCTGGTATTGGACGGGCTTCAGAACCAGCAAAATTTAATAGAAAACTGAGACAACAACAAGTTTTGGCCTCAACAGCGTCTTAAAATGTTGAATTTTGTAAACTCACACTCCGACACGTTCAGAAAATTTACACTAGTGTTTCTGCACAGCGTTAAAGTTTTGCACGATACCACCTCTCTGCTGGATTTGCACCGCCATAATTCTATCTTTTTGTCCTTCTTAACCTGCATTCTGTCTGCTTAGTTTTTATTTATCTCTATTTTTAAGCTACTGAAAGCTCAAACTTCTCTCTGGATCAATAAAGCATCAATCTATGAAACTCTGATGTGTAGGAGAAGTTTTGTGCACTTTTTCTGCACATTATTGGAAAAAATCAAGCATCAAATTCAAGTAGAAACAGGTTCACTCAGTGCTTTGCAGTAGAACAGAGTTTTAAATGTGTTTCTGTTGTTTTTACTTCACTGGAGCCTCAGAGACGTGATTTATGTCGTGCAGCATGAAAAAACTACAAAGATGCTCCAGGTAATAAAGAAACTCTGCATTTAGAAGAATTACAGTCTATAAATGAAAGCAGCAAACACTGGAGGCAACTGTGCCTCACTGCTGTTTGTGTAATTACTCTCGCTGCCAGAAGGGGGCGACGAACGCTTCCACTGCAGGTTCAAGTTTAGGTGATTGGATGAAACTTCCAGAAAACAAAACTGTAGATCAGTGATTTACTAACAGTGACCTGAGAGCTCAAACTGTCCGTCCAACAGATAAAAATAATCCAGATGACGGTTCATACATCAACTACAAGTTAACAAAATAAAAGCTTTACTATCCACCGATAATCCGTAATAGATTCTAAACAGACAACAGATTCAGTTTCATGTTAAAAATGCTGCTGCAGCTCCAGAGTAAAGAGGTTTGATCAACACTGAGTGACCGACTGATGAGCAAAGTGGTTTAACTGACTGAGCTTGACGGATCCGTCCATGCCCAGCAGGATGTTGTCGCTCTTGATGTCTCGGTGGATGACCTGGTTCGAGTGGAGGAACTCCAGCGCCTGCAGACACTGAGAGAGAAACACAGGAGTTTATATCTGAAAGTAATAAAAAATAAAGCTGCAACAAAACACATACCTGTTCATTTCACTTGGACACAAACAAGATTCTAATTCTAAACAACAAACTGAGGATCTGATCCTGAACCAGCAGCTCAAAGACTAAAGTCTGTGTTTCTGAAACGTCCCGTTACTTCCTGATGGATCCAGAACTGACCTTCAGCAGCTCCAGACACACTATGAACAGCAGGTGTTTGTTCTCACCTCTCTGCACACGGCGGCTATCTGAGCTTCATCCATGCAGGTTTCCGTGACGACGTCCGTCAGCGAGCCTCCGGCCAGGTACTCCATCACCACCCAGAGCTCGTCGCCCACCAGGTAGCTGCAGGACGGCAGCACACGCTCAGTTAGGACGCCTCATACTAGACTGTTACACACTTTGCTGCTCTGGAGGAAAATAATATAAAAGTCATATAATCCCTAAAGGCTTTGGCAGCATTTTGTTATGTTTAGTTTTAGTATTAATATAGAATTATTTTACTGAGGACATTTTGTTAGAGCGTTAAAGACAGAAAATGGGTTTTAGACTCTTTATAATAAACTTTTCAAACACAAGAAAACACTTTA